GTATATTGAACTTGCCAGTCGTAAAACAATTACTTTATTATCTCTTCAAAAAATACAGCTATCCACAATTATTTGCAGCTTTTTCTCCCACTTAAAAAATAGCTTCGTAGCAAAAGGTCAGATTTATTTAAAAATTAAATACTCTCGCTTATGCATAAACCTTCACAGAAAAGTGAGCAAATTAAAATTTTTATTTCTCCTTGCATAGTGAAGTATGAATCGACCTTAGGAACATCTTCATCTTTTTCTCAATTTAAACAAATAAAAGACGGGATTTTCCACGGATCGACGCGGATGTCTCAAGGTTGGACTGCGGTGATGAAAAAATCCATCTGCTGCCCCTGCTCTTTTTATTGACGTTTCACGTCCGTCCATTGCAACACATTCCAAAATTTATGACCCGGCCGGTGTGGTGTTTGTCATTAGAGCACCTGACGTTTCTTGGGAAGGCGGAGAGAAATAAATTCCCACCCCAATTGATGCTGCAGCCAGGTATGAAAGAAGACGCACTACAAAAGCAGGGGGACGAAAATCACAGGAAAGAGCTAACGAGATAAAAATTGCTCGCTGGTAGGCATGTTTAAAAAAAGAAGCTCTTTCATCTAAGGACTTGAATCTCTAACTTAAAATGTGTTAAAAATACTTTCAGGTACAACAGCTAAAAAATAAATTAGCTAAAGTACTTTTTCTAACGTACATGAAGTTGGCGATAAATGGAGCTATTAAAAGATTTTTTAGAAGAAAGTTCTATTTAATTTCAAATTTTCCCTTCATTTATAAAAGAAACAGAAAGGTCTTTTTTTTAGGAAATTCATTTAACTCTACTCTAAAAGTCTATTGTAAATGGCATAGAAATTTGTGAGGTCTAAATTGGCAATGAAATTTCACTTAAATAGAAAATAGATTAGCGTCTTTGTCACACAGAAAGGGGCCTGACTTGCAATAAATGGCAGCTTTTTGAACTGCATCTTCTCACGCATCTTCTCCGAAACAACAATGGCCGAGCCTGTTTGCCTGAGCAAAGAAAGAGACCTTTGTGCTGCGGCGAGAAAAGCAACTCAGGTGTTTCAATCTGGCAGCACAATATTTCACGTTCGATAAAAAGTACACATCCCCTGCTAATTTCGTCGAAAAAGCCATCAAAGCGAGAAACCGAGATGCATTCATATTACACAGCATGTGTGTGTGTTTCTCTTTTTGCATGAAAGTAAAACCCGAATTTTTATACGCTGCTCTCAAATTATTTTAATGGAGCGTTTAATTTTGCTCTGCACACCAGTGGCCACGGTAGCAGTGAAAAAAAAATATGCACGAGAGTGCTGACGCTTTCTTTCTCTTGGTTTGTTTCCCAAACACTCTCGGAGACTCAAGTGGTGCTTCTTCTCGCACTCCATTTATTTCGCTCCCATATAAGCGTTCGCGAGCTGGCGATTCAAATGAACGGTTTTTCGTGCCAAGGGGACCACACCAAGTTTTCGCCAACTGATTATTTGTAGCAAAATAGCAAAAACAAAAAGTCTTCGAATTTCAACATTGATTAAAAAAAAGACAAATTTTTTTTTGGTGAAATAGGTTTGAAAAATTCAAAAAAATGATGTTTTAAACTTAAATATTTTAATTTCTTGGTCTATTTCCAACTGACAATTAATTATTGGCTACATGCAAAAACAAAGTAGTGAGACATGATTGATTATTAACAATCTATATCATTTTTAACAATAGTTTTTTAGTTATAAAATAATAGTGAAACAAAAATATTTAATATTTCTAAATTCAAACAGAATGTATATTTTTGTTAACATAATATTAATACTTACGCTTTTAATTTATTGATTTAATCATTACTTAAAATAGTTAATATTATTTTTTTTTTTCAAATATTTAATCATCACTCTAGTTAGTTATTCCAAATTGTAACTCGATCTTATTTTTCTTAACATCTTTTAAATTTTAAAAGAAAATTTATACTTTGACCTTACTGCAATCATGCGAATTCCTTCAAGATTATTAACAATCATTATTTTCATTGTGTTTTTAGTAACTGATTCGATACAATTAAATTGCACATATTGGGAACTAATAATGAAATAAATTAATAAATTCTAAACTTATTAAAATACTACCTGATAGTCAGACAATTATTTACCACGAATGCAGAATTTCTAAACTATAAAACGACTTTTTAAGGTGGCACTTCAAACCAACAGAAAATCTTGGCACTATACACATGCTGTTGTCAAACAAAAATTCCAATCAATGCGCGGCACGGATAAAGCGCAATCAACCTGTTAGCGTGTGTGTGTGCTGTGCATGTGTCTCTCTCGTGCGTGTACCAAACGATTCTTTTCGCCGAGTGAATGGAATGAGGGAGTGGTCCATGTGCCACAAACTCCAGGGGTCACGAGCTGCAGGTCCATCACGAGCCCAAATGAAGAAATGAGGGGCAAAATATCGAAATCGCAGCCGCAGAACAATCGCTCAATCAGCTCCACTTTTTTCGGCGTTTGATTTGGACCGGCCCTCATTGTTAGACCATAATCATAAAAATAATAACAAATTCTGCTCCTCTCTCTTGGCCGAAAATGAGCAGCCGTTCGCTCAATTTTACTTTCACTGGTGCGTTGCAAAGCATAAAATAATGAATTATATTCGTCCGAAACAAAAAGCGAGATGAATAAATCGATTAAGTGCACGCGTCACTACTTGTACTTAAATTTCACTCCAATTAGCAAATTAGAATAATTGCACTTAGGTGCTTTTATTACAATTTACAATTTTGAGTGAAAAGGAGCTAGAAAAGGAGAAGATGATTGAAATAATTGCGCTGCTCTTTCGTTTTGTCCTACTGACACATGCATCCGATTTCTATTGCTCGTTTGTGCTTTGGTTCCCAGAAAAGTGCATGCATAAGGCAAACGGTGCCATCTGAGCGGTCGGTTGGTCTGTCGGCTCTCTCTTATACTGAAAATTAAAAACCTTCCTTTCTGCAAGAGGAGCGTCGTCGCGGCTCTCGGCCGAGGAGCGTCTTCGCCGAGAACTGGTTTGTGACGCGGTGGTTCTCAAGGCCAGTTTAATTACACGCCGCCGTGCTTTTGGGAGCCTTCTCCACATAATATACAATCATCGTCAAGTCTTAAGCGCCGAGATATTTAAAATGAGGACCGGATTTAAAAGGCTCTTGCAATTAGGAGAGGCAAAGCAAAGTGCAGATCAGAGCAGCAAAAATTTTCACCAAAATATAGATTCAACACGTTTTCTCAATGTTGAAAAAAAGTAAAAATAAATATCTTTAGATTTATTTAGTTTTTATGACAATTAGAATCAGGGAAGTTAAATTTATGATTATTCTTAATTTTTGTCTGTCTTGTAGTTTTTACAAATTTCAAAATACATTTTTGGTGGAAACAACTTACAAGAATATTTAATATTATATTATTTTAGATATACTAGAAGTATTTAATTTATTTTTATTATTTATAAAATCATTAGCGCCATCAGTGAAATTTCTCATACTCAATTTCTGCTTTATAAATATACGTTATTTTTTATTGAATATATTATATATTTTAATGAAATAGTGTATATTTTTAACTGTAATCTTAGCTTTTGTGAGTTAGCTTGTTAGTAAATATTGTAAAATAAACTGAAATTGAATAAAAATGCAATGCAAGTTCATTAAAGTAATTATTTTGCTTGTTAGGAATTTCCTACTCTTCAAATCTCCTCCGAATCATAGTTAAATATTATTATTATACAAAATATGCGGGTCCTAATACAAGGTAAAGGCGGCAGCAAGAGGTGCGCTTTTCAGCCGCTGCTAAAATATACACTAGCGATGAGGTAAGGAAGACGTAACGGGAATTAATATCCAAGAGCCACATTCTTCAACACCGCGGGTCAAACGCGCCATGTGTAATAAAATTCAAGCCAAATCCGCGCTTAGCTGTTCTGCACCTCTCTTGCATAAGGAAAACGGAGCCTACCGCAAAACGTTATTAGAAAAGCGTTTGCTCCTGATTGATAACCTTTGCGCAAAACGCAAAAATTGTGTAACTCACGCGTCTAATCTCGCGGGACGATCAGCCCCAAATAACCAGAAAAGCATGACAAACGCCATCGCCCTTTCAGTTTTGCAATAGTATTAATTTTTAATTCCGTGAAGTCTTAATCGCACTTTTGATTTATTGTCTTGAAACGAATTTCATGTCAGTGAATTAGTTCTCGCGCAACTCTTTGGGTGATTGGGCAGCAAAATTACAGACATTATGCGTCATGGAAAAAATCTGTAACCATAAATTATTTGAATTTGTGGCAATCAAATCTTTGTGAAACTTCCTTTTTCAATTCCGCACCATTTTAACGGTTGATTTTTTTACACTTTCCACATCAAATTTTGATTTAAAAGAATATTTAATTTATTATATCCCATAAATTTTAGATACCAAATAAAAAATTATTCCATCTAAATCTACCTTAATTCAGTAGGGGAATAAATTGACTCCCAATTTGAAAAACAGGAAGGAAGAGCCTAAATTATGTCCATAATTTTTCATCTCAGCTCTCTTGTTTGCGTAAATATGCGGCAGGACGCTACATTTACCACGCGTTTTGTAATAAGTGGCCTTACAAATCTAGATTAGACCTTTGTTTGTTTATTTTTTCGACCATCACAGCATTTTTTGAGCTCTAACTTGATTCCTTTCCGGCAGAATGTGTGCTATTATAACCATTACTGCGATCAACGATGCCTCCTCTCTTTCTCTCATTCTCTCCAATTTTGCAACATAATTTATTCTCACCGTGGCCATTAAACCGGCCAGCCACCTTTTGGATGGCCGCGAATTGGGGCCGCCTCGGTCAACAGCGCCGAGAAATTAAGGCCCGGGGGACAAAAAGTCAAATAGTTATTCTAGCGGGTCAATCGACGAGAACGACCTAACGCTAAATCCTAAAGTTTGCACCGGAAACGTGCATCCGATTTCAGTGGGATGTGGACTCACCTGTGGGAGGGCGTTCCTTAGGGTAGCAAATGCGGAAGAGACCCTTGGTGCGCGTGTAGTAGAAGTACTGCGTGTTCATGCTGTCCACCAAGGCACTCTGGTCACCCTTTTCAGCAGCATATTTCTGTAAAAATAATAATTTTTTTCAGTTATTGCATTAATTATGAATGATTGTCCAATATTTTCAAATTTTATTAAGTCAACGAAAACAAATCCCACCTACCAATTTAATCTTAACTTTATCCACTACAATATCTTTAGTTTTCTTGCAGAGCACAGTCTATTATTTATTTATTTACTTGGTCTTTTATTAGTTAGTTTATTCGTGCCATGAAATACTTCAAAAATAATATTATTCTTTCTATATTTTATTAAAACAATTTAAAAAAAATATATATATAATTAGTTTTAATGAAAAAATAAATATATTTCCATAATAATATTGTGGAAAAATGGTTTATTATTTTTTTTTTTAATTAAATAATAAGGTTTAATAAAAATATAAATTATTTAAGTGAGTTTATTTTATTTCATATTAAAGAATAAATCACTATCAGCTTAAATCAAATTTTTTTTAAACACGGCTCACTGCAACATATAGCGTCCTTTGATCTCGGAAGTTTTGCCAAATTCCTGCTAGTGAAGCTTATTATTATTTATTCTTCTCGGTCAAAGCTGCCGTTTTGTCCTACAATTATTTTTTTCTTTCAAATAAATTGTTTCTAAAAATTGAATGTTAACAATGTGATGAAACAATTTGGACAATTAAGCAAAGATAATGATAATTTATTTGAGAATTAATGATTGCAGTGACAAAAGATCTGGATAATGCATTATTTTGACTCCATATTTAAATAAGAGCAGCAGTAATTCTGATTAACTTTCAACTGCTTGAGAATCTAGGTACAAATTATTAGCGGAAATTGCGTGAAATCGCAACACACAAGGACTTTTTGTATGGAGAGAAACGCGGTGAAAGAGAGGAAGGAGAGCTGCACCGAGGGTTGACACTCTACTCTGTTTGCATAGCGAGTGCTATTTGTGGTCGTGGGAACGGCATTCGCTTATTTTCGCGCAGCATCCGAGGCTTTTCTCTAAACAACAAAAAATGATGATGAATGCGCTCGACTGGTGCCGAGTCTGATTTGGTGAACTGGCCACAATTGATCTTGGTCAAGCGTGAATTTGATATATACCAGGCCAACTTCAAGTTACGTTGGACATGGTTGTCAGATTTGCAAAGAAAAACGCTAGGACTTTTGTACCATTGAAATTGAGCTCAAAGTCAAATTGTTGCTAGTAATAAAAAAAAAACTGCTTTTTACTATGAGTTGAGCGAAAGTTTATAGGTTGAAGGACAAATAATGTGAATTTAAGGAAGCATTTACCCACGAGGAAACATCACGAACTAAATATAAAACGTTTCATTTCAAAATTAAAAGGAGAATTACTTCCAAGAAATTAATGTAATGAGTTGTAAAATTGTACGACAGCTCTTCAAATGAAAAACCTTCCGCTGTTTGTTTAAAAATGCAGCCATTTTGATTATGGAAATATTTATTTGAATTAACTGTATGCAAATATCTGTGCCGCCACGACGACTGACGCCGCATATGAAATTAGCTCTCGTCAAAAGTCATGCATTCCAAATGAGCCATAATTACGCACAGGCACTCATTACATTCTCGTGTCCTTAATTCCAGAACGTGAATTAAAAATCGGAGATAATACAGAAGGCGACTGGTGGCAGGAGAAGTGGCACTTGGGAAAATCTTCAGACGCGCACACGCTACGAAGTTCATTAAATTATAATAAATTTTCCTGCGTGTGTAAAGTAGGTGTCCGCCGCAAGGATCGCGCGATTTCCCTGTGCAGAATCGAGTCGCCACACTTGATCGCGGTGAATCCGTGCGTGCGCCTTGGTTTTGTATTTTTTCACCTCGAAGCCTCGTTTTTCTAGCTTTCTTCGCAGCGAAACGATTCATCAGTCGCGCGACAATCTGGGTCCACTGCACGAAAGTGAATTTTCGACCTGGGCCAAGAAAAAGAAAGAGCGCGTTCAAGGTTGGTTTTTGTGTGTTTGGTCGTTGATGTTTTTATTATTTCAGACCGAGCCTTTGTGTACCGAAGGTAACGATGAAATAATGCAAGGTGGGCGGCTTTTGAAAATTACCGCAGAAGCTCAAGCGTGTAGGAAAATATTGAAGCTCGGTGGGTTTGAATGTGTTGGCAAAAGGCGTGTCAAAATACGCATGTAAAACAATAGGAGCCAGCCAGCTCATTGTCAAACATAATCATTGGCACCGCCGTGATACATCCACGAAATTTAGAACAGGATCCATGAACCTCTTAAACATGCAGCAGCGTGTTAAAATCTGCAAAGAGCTTTTTGGAGAAAAAAACTTAAGTTTCTCAAAATCTTCCACTATTCTGGATATTTATGAATTTCTTAAATATATAATTATTTTTTTCCCAATATTATTCGATTATACTTAATTTTAAAAATACAATAAACTTTTTCCGTTTCTAATTAAAAAACCAGGATTCTATCGCTTTAAAATTTAAAAATTAATCCGATTCCGGATAAATACTTTGAGATATATAATTTATGTACTAAAGTGGACCATTTCTCTTTGGTATGTAAGATAGTTAGCACCAAAAAACCGAGTTTATTTTCTAAATTCTGCAAAAAGTGTTGGCGGAAGCAAAACACGTTGAAACGAAATGCCTTCGGAATAAATTTTTTAAGTATAATTCTTTCATTTCCTCTAATTCAGTCTATGCTAAAAATTGAAGCAAATGTGTCGGATCTCGGTAAAAAAAAAAAAAGAAAGTGATATATTAAAGTATTTTTAATTCTCAAAGTCATTAAAAAATAACTTAATTTTCTTATTGCACATTATTTTGCATAAATCTGAGTGAGAACAAAATTAATTGATAAGTTAGATGGTTCAATGTTTCTAATTATAAAAGTTTAAATATTTTTTTTTTTTTTGCCATACTAAATTTTGTTAAGACACTATTTTAAGCCTTTTTACTATCAAAGCAAAGTAAAAATCAGCACAGTAAATAAGACCGGAGAGCGTTATTATTTTTGTATGGCACCAGACGGGCCGAGACGAAACCGAGTCGATTCCAATCGCATCTGTGAGGCGGATAAGAAAATAAAGCAAATAATAATGAAGTCGGCAGAAAGGAATGCATTTCGGCGGCCGCCTGGGAAGCCACACTGCAGTGATTACGAGCCGCCGTTTCTGTTTCCCGGCATCAACAACAACACAGTTACTTTTCTCGCCTCAGCAATTCCGGTGCGGCCAAATCTAAATTAATAATCTCGCCAACTGTATGGCAGTGACGAAATCCCACAACTAAAAATAATAAAAGAAGAAGGGAAAAAAATTCCATTACGAGACGAAACCGAAAACCTCGCTGGCGCATAGGAAGCGAAATGTGCACGCGAGCCAGAAAATCGCGCGCGTCAGTCATGCTCGGTAAATATTTAAATTGGTGCTGAGAGATGCTAAAAAGTGAAATGTTTGTTGGCCGCGCGCACTCGGATTTGCCGCAATTAGCATACAATTGGAGTGCGCCGAGTAGAAATCGAGATTGACTGTAACTCGGATTAGTATTGCGACGAGTGCGGTTCCGCGTTTCGGAATTTTGGCACCGAGATCGCGAGTTTCGTTTTTTGCATCACACCTTCCTTACAGCAACGAGGGGGGCAGTGCGTGAGCTGCGCGTTAATGTATGTAACAATAATTGCATAGCCCAGAGAGTTGAACACCTTCAAACTCTCCTAAAGGCATTGGTTGTAAAAATTCCAACACAGGTCCTTCGTGCCAAAGAAATGGAAAATAATCCTTCTAAATTATTTTACAAAAAAAAAATATTTAAAAATAAAAAATTCTGTGGAATTATTAATAAAAAATGAAGGTCTTTAAAATATTGAGTCATTTACTGTTTCCATTTGGAAATAAATTTGATTTCAAATGAATTTTATACTTTCAAATAACCTTTTCACACCCAAAGTAAAACAACTTTCCTCGTCAGTTGATTCCCCGGAGCGTCAGCCTAGTTTTAATTAGCTTGGAATGAGCTGCCCATCAAGCTATGAATGCAGATTAGGAGGAGATTAAGCGGAAGCGTAATGATTTGCTTCTTTTGTGTTGGCCGCCATGATTGATGGTCATGAATTACGCTTCACTGAGATTTATTCCAGTTTGGTTTTTCTTTTTCTTATCTGCTGCCGCGGATCTGCATGATCATTGTTCCGCCGAAAAAATGGCCAACCTTGAGTTGGAGAAGAAGTGCCGGGCAATAAATAATTCGCCTTCAGGACGTTAATTTAAAATGCTAATCGGCGCGGAAAGCTATATTTTGACGCATAACTTTAAAAAGAAGACCTGTGCAGGAGATCATGTAACAAAAGTGGGGGCCAATTTGGATCACGAATAGGGGCTTCTTTTTAGTGCCTGAAATAATTTTCACAAAAAATTTTAACAGGATGAAGTGAGCTGAAGAATGCTAATTGATATAACCATCAGAAATTATTGTATTTCTAATAGTTTTGTCTTACTTAACTTACTATGGGTGAATAAAAACGGAAATAATCATCTTTAATAATTAAATAAATAAATAAATGTGCAACAAAATGACGGAAAAATTCATTGATTTATATAATCTTTAAACATTAAGTTACACAACTTGATGGTTTTTTAAATATTAAAAAATAATTTATACTCATAAATTGAAGAATTACAGAGCAATAATAATTTACAGAGGTATATTTTAATAAATGCTTATTGTTTGGTAAACATTAAATAAATTAAAACATAAAAATATAAAATAATTATTTAATATAAGAAAGTATTTAAAACAAAACTTGATTTTTATAATATATGTTTATTATAATTATACTTTTATTTAAATATTTTCATTAACATTTAAGATTTCAGTAAATCTTCTCCTCAGTTTTTTTCTATATTTTACAAACACAAGAATGGGGAAATAAAATGAAATATTAATAAGAAAATAAAAATCCCTGCACAACGAAAAGCTACTTTTTATTCACCAAAAATAATATGAATTAGGACTGCGAAATTAAAACTCGGAGCGGGTGCGTTTGCGTAATAATTACAAATAAATCACCCTTAGTCACCTTTCCTGCTTTGCAAACTGAATAACTTCGCGGCAAACCGTTGGAGAACCTGTTTATTAATCACCGCGTTCGCATACTGATGATTATGTCATGCGCCTAACGTGCGCGACGCGGGCGTGTCAATCTTTCTTTGTCGTTCCAAGTGCAGAAAATAATTTTTATGCACCCGCCGAGTACGGCAAGTAGACCTGAATTACTTCAAAAAGGAACAGCTAGAAGGTGACGCTTGCAAATTAAGCTAACCCGGATGCCTATGCACTTCTTCTTCTTGTTGCTTTTGGACTTTTAACATCACACGCGCGCGTGAGCCCGACAACTATGGGAGTGCTTTAACGGGACAATTACATACACAATTGTCGGCTGGCTGCGATTTTATCCAGCGGTGAATGATAAATAAAGCAGCAGCTTTGTTGCCCGACTGCACCATCTGACACTTTGGTGACGCAAGGCAAGCGGACAAAAACGTGCATTAGGTTTTGCATGAATTTTGTTAATATATTTTCTAGATTAAATTCTAAATTTGTTTATTCCGAAAACCATCATCAGCAAATTTTCTTTACAATAAACAGAATGAGTTTGTTTTCACTAAATTTAAATTTTTATTGTCTATCAAAGTTATAAAAACTTTTTTTTAAATTATTTAAAAAGCCTCATAACTTGGATCTTAGATAAAAAAATTTAAATAATATATATGTGACTTTTATTTATTAAAATGCAGCAATAATATCTAAGATTGTTTTAATTAATATCATTCTATGAATTGTGCAATGGAATTTTAATTAGAACAACTGATAGGAACCCTTAAAAAATATCACCTGATTTCGTCGCCTCGGGTCGAAGGGAAATTACCCGTGGACGAAATTACTCCTAATCAAAAATAAACAGCTGTCATATTTATACATGAAATAGTTTTGCCTCGTAACAGGACCGTGGTTTACTTTACAGTAGAAGGAAGAGTCGATTGCTTTTGGTGTGCGAGTAATTATTCAATTATTGTTGATGGCTCGCGAACCGGAAAATCGTGCCAGTTTCGATGACGGAATGATTGGGCCGCAAAAGGGCGCAGCTCGTTATTTGTTTCTTCGCGTCATAGCTAAAGTTTTGTTAAAAGTCACACACTGTATATAATTGCAACAATCAAAATTGCAAACATTTTGCTATTTGATTAAAATGATTTTATTCACGATAAATGCTTCAAGCTTTAAATTGATTAAAAAATATCGATTAAATTAACAAATTATTAAAGTATAAATTTATAAGTAAAAATTAAATTCAAAATAGCTGTTTTTTTTTCAATTTAAATAATTATCTATTTTGATTTTGAAAGTTCTCTACTTAATAAAAAATTATGTTTTAAACATTTTTTTGTTTCATTTTAACAGCATAACTATCTGGAGCTGAACAATTAATAAATTTCTGGAATTTCCTGCCAGCGTCAGGTGCAAGCACCTGTACCGCCCTGAGCCTGGAGCAACCTCACAGTTATAATTTTTGTATGAGAATCAAAATTTTTTCAGTTTATATAGTAAATAAATCTATATAAGTAAACGCCAATTTTAAACATAAAAAGCGATTGAATTTAAAAACGAAGGAAATTTGAATTTTTTTGTTCCTCTCACTCTGTGCAGAGCAGAGAGGCCGTGTGATGGCGTCGCGGCACTCACCAAGATGTTGGACCTCTTGACCTCGTAGGAGAGCCAGTTATCCGTGGAAAAGGCGATGGCCAGCATGGCCACGGACACAATAGCCGTGATCGTGGCCAGGGACAGGGTTATCGCGGAGCACGGCATGATTTTCCGCCTTTCCGACGCACTTGAATTCGATAGATTTTGCGACGTGCTCCGCCACTCGTCAGCCTCACAACTCTAGCACTGAAAGCTCGGCTGCGTTTTTGCTGCTGCTGCCTTCGACAGCCTCTCTCTCCCTACCTGCGACCGCGACGTGACTCGAATTCCTTCCACCTGAGCGCTACAAAGCACTGCTTCACCAGCCACAGGTGAGTTTATTTACCTGACTGAGTTTTTACAATGATTGGGGCTTACAGAGACCCTTCCTTCGTGTTTTGTTGTGCGAGGGTTGCTGTGTTGCGTTTTTGCTGCAATTACCTACCGTATTATTCTCTAAGCCCTAAAAGCCCCCAGGGGAGACGCGTATGGTGTGGGTCGTGGGGGTTGACAATGGATTGAAAATGAAAAATATACGCCAGCTCGTTGTAAAAAGCAAAAAATAATTAATACATAAAAGCTTTAAATTTTTCCTAGATTTCTCTGGTAGAATTTTCCATGTTTTTTGCTTATTTATTTTTGAGAAAACTAAAGAAAAAATACAATTGAAACAAATCAATTATAAAATTTGTAAACCGATTAAATTTTATGTTACATTTTGAAAAAATAATATTTTCACTGTGTTCATATAACTAATGCCGAAAAGTTCATTGAAAGTGATAAAATAAATTTATTTTTATTAAATGTTTTAATTTTTATATTTTAAAAATTTTAAATATAATTTTGAAAAGAATGATGTTTCAAACTACAATGTTAACTAACGCTTAAAACTTCAAACGATATATAAAATAGGACGAATAAATACAAAAATCATGCCACTTAACATTTAACACCAATAAATGCAGCAGCCTCTCATGGACTTTGTACTTTTTAGCGCTTTTTTCCTTTATAGTTAAAAATTAAAAAGGACAAGATTAATTTTGATGATTTTTCTTATCAATCTATTTCTCAATTTTTTATAAATAATTAAAATTTTAAGTAAACTTGATTTCACATATAATGAGCCTGTTATTAAATATTGATATGGGAACAAAATAAATAAATTTAATTATTATATTATTGTGAATTAATTTTCATTTTAAAAATAAAATGCACAGAGAGTTAAAGCTTGCCTGCTGTTCTATGTTATCAAAACGATTGTGTAGTTTATTGATAGAGGAAGTGGATCCGTTGCGGGTAATTCTGTGGTTTATGCGGGAGGCAATTTGAGAATCGGCAGGTGCCTTGAAATAATGCCTTTGAAAATTGACTTTGGCCTTGAATGCCTTTTACAGGCTAATAAATGCACAGATTTCTAAAGAATGGAAAATTCATATCCTCCAGTTTTATGGATGAGTAACCTGGCTCGAATGTATAAAAAAGAACTATGTAATTGAATTATTTGCTACTGCACAGCGGTTGCAGTAACTGACCAGTTTTTATTCAATATTTTACACAAATTCGGAACAATTAGACTGTGAACGATTGATAATCGACCATCGCTGTATACTTGACCCGTTATTCAATACTTCAGCCAGTAAAAAGTTGATCTTAAATTTGAATACAAAAATAACATCTACTCCTGTCTCTTTTTATTGATTAAAAATTGACCTTAGTGGGGTCATATGGCGTATCCTTAAAAGGAGATCCTTCTGCATTCCAAGCTGCTTTAAGCATTTCCTCAGTCTTCTGCAAAATAAGTTACAAAACCATCAATTACATAAAGAAATCTAATTAAGCAGTCTCATTATCTAAACACTGGCCCGAGAAATTTTGGGGACAATTTATTTCCGTTTGTTTTGTTAATCCCAGAGTAGCTTCGATTAATCTTGAGAACTGAATTCCAGAAAATCGACATTCCTTTTGATATAATTGGATATGACATGAATTTTCTAAAATGATTTTCTTTTTTAATCTCTTTTCAAAATAAAATTATGAGGTAAAGTTCCCTTAGAATTTAATTCAGATTTTATGTTGAGCAGAAGAATGAATAATAATTATAGGAAATGTTAGGTAAAATTTTAACAGAGTAGATAAGATACCTGATAAGCCACTATAATTGATAATTTTAAGCATTTTATTTTTAATCATTTTCTTCACCTGAGAGTTTGTTCTTCTTTTTTCCTGGTTGGCCACCATTTCCCTGACTCGCATTTGTTCATCCTCGGGGAAATCTTGCAAAGGTCGAGACGGGTCAATCAATCTCACGTTGATTTTTTTGTCTGTTGTGAGAAGAGCGTCCCACCAGCGCTGCTCCACCTTTTCCAAGTGCAACTGGACGCACTTTCCAGGCACCAGACTCCAAATAGTGTCTTCATTTTTAACCTTTTTCGTCAACTCTCCGTCCAGCAGCGTTTCGGCTCCGACGGACACTTTGACTGTGGTGTTTGTAGTTTTCACTGACACTTGTTTTCCTCTGGTGATGTCTTTGGGGACAGGGACGGAAATTTCAACGTCTGCGAGAGTTTGGTTCCAGCTGAACTTTTCACAAACTGCACCGTTGTAACTATCGGATGCATCGGGGCCAGATCTGTTTTAATTCTCTCTAAATTATAACTTTTAATGAAGCAATTTATTAATTTTTACTTGGTGGCTGAGGATTTTGGAGGTTCCTTTTCAACGGGTCCGACAGGCAGATCATTTTCACCAGAAATTTCAATTTCAGCTACGGCTTGTGGGGCAACTCCGTCGCTTTTGAATCTGTTTGGAATTTAAATAAATTAATCTAATTTCTTTAATTATAAATTTCTTACGTCTCAAGCTGGGACAGTCTAGTAGAATGTTCCTCAAGATCTTGGTACTGCTTGAAAATTTTCAAAACCAGCCTCAAAGCCTCACCGGGCATGAACCCAACAGACTCGTCGCGGTGCTTTTTCACCTTGTAAAAGTCCGTTCTGAAAGAAAATAATTTTTAAAATCACCAGCTATGAAACGTACTTGAAATTAACCTTCTATAGAGAAATCCGAAGACAGAATCCAAATAGTTCACAATGGTTTGGTCTCCGTCTGAAGAGAAAAAACTCAAAAGAGCCTCGTCTCTGGTATCAATTTGTTCCATTTTTATCGAAATGTGAGAGAAAAACCGATAGAAAATTAGTGAATCTTGTACAGAATGAAATGCACTATCAACGTTAAACAAATAATCTTTTGTGCAAATTTAAAAAGTGCTTAAAAACAAAAATTTAGCGAGCCGCCGATCTCTATTTGACAGATGAAATGAAAGACATAAACAAAGTATGTTGTGCCCACCTGAGCACGAGAGATGCTGCCCTCTGCACATCGGTATGAAGAAGCTGCCCATTCATTCCCCCAATATGCAATACGCATAATATTATACGCGGCGCGCGGTCTTGGTGAGATGCCATGGATTTTATTTGGATTTGATTTATTAGAATTTTATCCCAATAAATCCATTTGTGGTGCTCATTGGGTGTTCATTTCATTATACATATTCATTAAATTTTTTTTATTATTATTATTGTCAATCTATTCGTCAAAAAATTCAAAAGTCGTAAGTATATTAACCATATTAACAAGATTCAATTTATTATAAAAAATATTTTCCCTGCTCTGAATTTATATAATTGTCTTAAATTGTATTACACGGAATTAAAAATATATTTTTCCCTTTGAATGTAATGCTAGACTATTTTATTAATTTTTTGTCAAATTAAAAAAATATAATAGAACTTATTTTCTGAATTGTAGAATTGAAAAAAATGCTGTGATTATTTTCTCAAAATTTTTTATTATATTGCCGGATGCGATATGTGGACCTAAATTAATTATAAGGATTTCACTTTAAAAATCCAATTAAAAAAATTACATAATATAAAAGTAAATAAATCAAGAACAATGGTGGCCACGGTCGATGCTGAGTTATTCAAGCTCACTTCTGTTGAAAGCTTGCATCGCGTTTTTTGTCAAGTTGAGCGAGTGCATCTTTGTTTGGAGGGTTTTTTAAGAAAAAGTGCAAGTCATCGCGAATGGCCTTGAAATCTTCCCACATGGCCCCTTGCGTTTTGCACGTTTCGTACCACTTGGCGATGAGTGGGTAGGGCGAAAAATCAAAGTCGGCAGCCTCCATGCAAATCGCTGTTTGCAGAAGACCGATGTCAGCAATGGAGAATTTCTCTGAAATTTTTTATTTAACGACAGACTTAAAAAATTTTATAAGCAAAAATTATTCGTTACCTCCAGCAGCAAATTTAGTTCCCTGGTCCTTCAGAATTGTCTCAAAAACTGAAAGTGACCTCAGGGCCTTTGATTTTATCTGGTCAGTGCTTGGTGCACCAAAGACATCTCCAAACTTAATTCGCGAAAATAATTTTATTAATTATTAAAAAGATATTTTATTAATTTTCTACTCAACTGTATACATGGACACGCTAGGATATAAATTGCACAGGTTGAAGGCCAAGCGTTGATTGATGGTTCCCCGACGCTTAGGGTCACTGGGGTACAGATCTGGTAAGCCTTTGCCATAGGCGTCAGCAATGTATTGCAAGATTGCAACACTTTTAAAAAATTTCAAATTAAAATTTTTATTTTAAATTTCGGATTAAAAATTGACCTCTCGCACAAGATGTAATCTCCATCCTGGATTACAGGCACCTCTTTTTGCGGATTTCTCTTTAAAATTTAAAAAAAAATTATAGACTAAATATGTCAATATTTATACTGGTTTATAATTGTCGTAATGTTTAATACCTTTGCATGCTCTTCAGTGAACTGCTGGCCGCCGAAGTAGTCCAATTCGGTGGCCTTGTAGGGAGTTTTAGTGTGCTTAAGCAGAGCGAGCACCGCGTAGCTTGGAGGGCTTGCCCTCATGTAGAACACTTCCAACACCGGCATTCTATAACTGTTGAAAAATAATTACAATAATTCAACAGTAACAAAAGGTTCAGCAGTTTCAAACGCTTTTAAAATATAAGATAAATATTATATTAGCAAAAATTTATTTATGCTTAAAGGGTTTAAAGATTTAAACTCACTCAAGACAAATCCTTCAGTATGAATTTAAGCAAAGATGTCAACTGAACGCTTCACAACGAAGAAGAGCTGTGAATGATTAATGCTCTTCGTCTTTTAAGCTCTCAACCATCTCTCCCACCTAGCTTCAATTTTCATTGTATAAATTCAAAGCCAAGGCCACGACTCGGTCTTCTTCTCCAAATATTATCTTGCTTAACTTTTTATTTTGCGATAAGATTTACCTCGTCAGTCTCGTCACACACTATTGAATCTTAAAAACAAAAACAAAAATTTTCTAAGTTTAATCTATATTTAAAATTTTATGTATTTTATTATTGCTATTACATACAAATTTAAAAAATAAAATTAATAAAAATGTAAAAAACTAATTAGAACATATGTCTCAAGTTTTTCATTATTTTAAAATCAGAAATCACAACCTTGCCCTTCCTCTATGGAGATTTAAAAAAAAAATTGAAGGTCAGTTACTTCAATAGTAAGCCCACAAATTAAAAAAAAAAAACTTGTATATCCATGCATGTAATTTTAGTATAATATATTGGAATGAAAAAGCTCAATCTCACGCAGATCAAAAAAGTACAGTCGTAGTCTTATTTGGTCTAAGGTGATTCTACGACTTTATGTTGTGCATGAAATTTTCTAGTAGTTAATTTCTAGTGGAAAAATTATTTTTCACTCATCCTACTAAATTTAAAAAATAATTAATATTATCAAAATTATGATAATAGCAGTACTCTTATAATTCAAGATCACATATTTGAAAGTTAAAGTATTGTTCGTTGGTATAATAATAATATATTCGTGCTTGTTACAAATAAAATTCTCCAGTTCTCATGGCTGTAGATTTTATTAAAAACAATCTTTGAAAAAGTATCTCTTTCTCATAAATTACAAATGGTAACATTTTCTTTTTTACATTATAGACAGGAGCGTGGTTTATACAGAAGCTGATCTTAACAGTTAAACTTTGGAAGTTTGCAGACAAGGGTTGAGAATGTTGAGATGAAAGTGGTGAAATTATAGTAAATGCAAAATACTCTTTTGCTTATTATCATTAGTTAATTAATAGATGGAAAATGAGCTATCGATATAAAAAGTTAGCAAAGGTGTTAAGTCCATGTGGAGGATTGTGAAAATCGTGCACAGGAAAACTAAAAGTACAGTGTTTACAAGCTAATAAGTTGGGTAGAGTGGTCTTCGAAACGCATCACTTAATGGCACGTTTTCTCTTCGAGGCTAATTCTAAACAATTTCAGTTGGCAACAAGGTCATCATTTAAGTACTTCATTTTCGCACAAATATTTCTGCATTCAAAAAATTTAACATTTTGGATTAATTTGCTGATTTCATAGCACATTTTTACAACACAAAATAATTATCACGTATACGGTTAAAATCAATATCAGCTAAAAAAAATATTCAAGCATGAAGAATAAGGTGGTTCGACGCGCATCCAGGGCCATTAATTGGCCAGTTGCAAGCGGACGCTTTAGGATCATAGGACAATTTAACAGGACAGTCAAAGACTCTGATATTGTAATGTTGAGCGTCGTTTTCCGAAAAACATTCATAAAATTTATTGCAGTTGTTTGGATGTCTGAAGAGTCCCTCACGATGGCAGACTTCAGGGCCGAGCGTGTCATTAGAGGCCCTCGTGCCTGCTGGTCCATCGGAGTCGAATCGGCGAGAAATGCTCAGTTGAGTTGAGCCTTGGAGCTTCTCGACGAGAGGAATAGAATTGGCTTGGTTGGGTTTAGTGATTAGCATTATCGGCTTAGCTTCTCCAGTAAAAATTCTCGGTCTAATTATGGAAGAGCTTCCTTCTGAATCGTACTCTTCAGGGAATCTGTCATTGTTTGAACTCGGAGAGCCTTGCAGGTCAGCAACATTAATCGGCCGCTGATTAAAACCACCACCGAACGAGCCAGCAGAACTGGATGCGCTGCTTGAAGAGCTGGAGGAACTGGCGCTTGAGGCTCCACTAGACGATGCTGTGGTAGTTTCAGGTATGAATTGGCCATTGTTGATCAGACCAATGGTCTGATTCATGGCTGAGGAGGATGAGCTCGAACTAGAGCTGGAAGAACTAGAGCTGCTGGAACTGGATGAAACCTGCGCTATCACGGTAGGGAAAACTGGCTGTAGCTGTTGTTGTAGCTGCTGCTGCTGTTGTAATTGTTGCTGTTGCTGCAAAATTTGCTGGAATTGTTGTGCTGGTCTTGTTCCCGAAGACGCACTTGTACCAGCTGCTCCTGCCGAGGCAGCACCACCCGCACCACCTGATGAAGCAGTTTGAGTATTAATGTCTTGTTGAATCATTTGCTGAATTTGGTTGTTGACTCCGAGCAGGCCGCTGATCATGTTGTTGAAAGAATTTACAAGATTCTGCATGGCGGATGTTGCAGTGGACGTCTCGACTTCGGCCTCGGCTGCCGCTTCAACAGCCGGCTTGGCAGTGATAATAATATCTGACACGCTGGGCCGTCCAGGAACTGTAGGTCGAGTGGAGAAACCAGGCCGAGGGGTTGTGGTTGTTTGTTGGAAAGGCCGCAGGGTGGATACGTCTTGAGAATTGATTGAATTAAAATTTTCTTCTGACGACACAATGGTAATCGATCCAGGTCTGGGTGTTCCTTGCTCAATAATTGGGATGCGATCACCGTACACCAATTGGGTAGTTATCGGGAGAGGCTGGGGAGTGACGAAGAGAACTTCATTGGGGAGGATCAAAGGGTTAGCAGGTACTTCATAGTGATAGCCACCTCCATTGTGAATGACAGTGGGAATGGGAACCAGAGGAGAAGCTTCAACAGGGATGGTTGTGAAGATTGTAGCAGGGGTTGGACCATAAGCTGGTCCAGTGACGGGAATGCCAAGAGTGGTGGCTGCTGGTGCTTTTAGACCAGCATTAATAAATTGTGGCGGGGGAGGAGGAGGTGCTGTCGGCCGAGTTGAGAAAGTGGTTAGGGGTCGAGAAGTGGAAGGATTGAGCTCATTCAAGTTTCCGCTGTTCAAATTTGAGCCACACGCGGTTACTAGCCAGGGCCAATTGCACTGCTGGCTCCTCTCGTCAAATCCAAGGCCATAAGGACACCTAAATTCGTAGGGAGTGATGCCAGAGGATGCGTCTCGTCTGTGGTCCATGCAGGCGAAGAACCAACGGCAGTTTTCAGGATCAGCATAAAAACCAGTTCCAGGGCAGATGAACTTTGCGCGCGGAACAGGGCGAATTTCACTTGATCCGTCGCAGGCGTTGGTTTGGCCGGGCCAGACGCAAACTTCCAGGCGTTCATCAAATGCCAAGCCAGCGGGACAGTCGTATTCAAACACCTCAAAGTCATCTCCGGCCTGGTCAAATTTAACGCAACGGTAAAATCTGCAAAAAGATATAAAATAAGTTTAACTTGTTTGAGCAAAGTATGCAACCAGCGTGGCAGCCAAGCTGTACAGGTTGCCTAACCTCACATATTATTTTTCTTTAATATTATTTCAATATTTCACTAAGAAAAATTTGCTCACCTATCACATCCCTGGGGATGTCTAAAGTAGCCCTGCCTTGAGCACTCAAATTGAGTTTGGGCGCCCCGCCGGATAACTTGCACCGCTCCCTCTCTATCCAGAACACGCACGATTCGGAAGGGAGAAACGGTGACTGGTTGCAAGTTCTGAGCGGCAGTCTCCAGTTGGGGGGCGTTCGCTGCCTCCAGTGGGTCGATTAGGCTCTGGAGAACGGCACTGCGTGGTTTTCGGGAAAGCGAGGACATAGTGTTGAAGAGGGTTCTGGTCAGAGCGTTGAAACCGTTTCCACAGACGTTTCTCAGATCATCATTATCCACAGGATAAATTGAAACTCCGGCGAGATCTCGTAAAAGAGCGTATTTTCCCTGATTGAAAACAAAAACTAAGCATAAATTATTTTTAAATCACAGAAACTTACTTTTATTTCAACACTCAAAACGTCATCAAATGCCATCCAGGACATATTTCGGTAGGCGTATGGTGCAGTGAGATCTTCGTCTCGCTCCACTGTCCATCCACCTTCAGAAATTGCGCCACATACCTTTTTAAAAAAGAATATAATTATTTTGTTAACATTTATTGTAAAAGAACCTGTTGGTAAGAAATCAAATAGGGTGGCCAGTGAGCTGGCGATCTAGGTTTGTTCACCGAGGCTGCTCTCAAGTTGAAGTAAAGACCAGTCGCAGGAATGGTGATGACTAATTTATTCATTGGTGCTCCCATTCCAGTGAGCAAATCCAAAACAGTATCCTAATAAATTAAATGAAAAATATAATTTAAAAAATTAAAAGTGATTTGTTTATAATACCGTGTTGAGCAAGTCCGATAGGCCCATCAGCCTGCTGTGATGGAAGGTGAGACCAGTTTCGGAGGCGTCGATCAACGTGTCCGTTGGCACGGCGAAATAATTAACATACCTGAAACGCGTTTTTGAAATTAATAAAAAGCACGCGGTCGATTTATAAGCAAAACAAAAGCAGACATGCAGGTGAATTAATTTATTAGAAAGGCGAAAAAGATAAACTTAAAATTAAATTATTCATTGTTTATTTTTTTTTTTACAACAATGAAGTTGCATTTTGATTAGTCTCGGCTCGCATGCTCTTACTGTAATACACATAGAGTGTGGATGATCCGCGAGGGTGATTGTGGGGGGTGAATGAAATGAAATTTACACATTACGCTCCTCCTACTGGCTGAAATTGATGAATTGTGGAGATATGATCGTGATTATGGACCCGTGTGCACTCGCAGGCTTATGCGACCGTTACGTACTTGGAGAGCGGCTTCAAATCGAACATCTTGCCCAGGACCGTCGGGCTGGTTGGCACTTGCAGAATGAATACCACGCTCTGCTCCACTTGCACTCTCCTCTGTTCGCTGGTGGCCGAGTCGGGCACGACGATTGTTGCAGCTGTGCTGTTATATCTGATGTAGCTAAAAAATTATGCGTGTTTAGAAAAAAAATAATAATGCTAAAATTAAAAATAAAAATACCGATTGGACCGCCAGGATGGCATAGGAATGTCATCTGCAATCTCCTCATGAACGGAGTAGCTACGGCGATACCTAGACTGGGCTGCTACTATTGACAAGGCTCCTCGAAGGCCCTGGATTGAATTTAAAATTTAAAACATTTTTTTTTTAATAACTATAAAACCGTGTTTGAAAGACACGTTGAAATGCAAATATATTTTTAATACAATGAGAAAAATTAAATAAAAAGTATCAATATATATTTAAGTAAATTAAATTATAGAATTTTGTATTTTTTCACATTCCATTATTTAATTTGACGCTAATTGCTTTGTGTAGATTTAATAGTAACAAATTCAGTAAAATATTATATTCAGAAAACTTTTGATTAGCTTATTGATCTGCTATTGAATTGTACTTCCTCTTCTAAAAACTCGACTTTTGCAATTTTATTGGTATAAAATTATATAATATAATAATTTAAATTATAAATTAGAACAAATTTTAATTTCTAAACCTACCTTGACAAAAGCAGACAGCCTCTGTTTCCCATTAGCTCCTCCTGCCAATTTGGAGCCTTCCCATTCCAGAGCGACTTCGATTCCGTGCAGGCCGTATCTTTTGACCATCAATGCGATGTTGGCTGCCACCTCGGTGCCCCTGCCTGATAACAGGGCGGTTCGAGCGTGTCCGCTCACCCTGCCGATCACCTTCAGGTCGGGGTTGCGTTCTCTCAGGTAACGAGCAGCACGCACCAAACCTGCCCACACACTCTCATTAGCCGTCAGTAGAAGAGAAAATGATACAATTTAAGTTCAATAAATCAACATTACAGACTGGCCTAGGTGTTGTATTGCAAGAGTTATATTTCTTGCCGCACACGTGGGATGGAATTTAATGAGAAAATGTAAATATACTCATATCGCGCCTACGGCTGATTGTGCCGTGAATCAGAGCAATTGGTCGCTTTTGTATTTTTCTCATTACAAGAAGCATCTCTATCGATCGTGAGGCGCGTGATTTCTTCAGCTTCGTGCCGCCACAATTAAAAAATTTCATTTTCATATCAAATTTGCGTTTGATATGACAGCTTTAAATATGCAAATGAACGCGAAAAGTGAAATGACGAAACAACTTTTCAACGCCCTCTCGCGAATATAAAATCTGGACTTTATAGATCACGAATAAAAAAAAAAAAATTAATGCTGTCCACTTAATAAGATTTATCTGCACGACCCTCCCACAAAAAAAGGAAAATCAGCTCGACTTCCTTGTAATAAACAAGTCGAAATGGTAACAATGCGGCGGCGACTCATGAGTGCCCTGGGCAACGGATGCGATATGCTCTTTCTTTCCTGCACATGCGAACAAAAGTGTTTATTCCCTCAAAGAAAACGGTCTAAACTCTGATGATTGCGAGTTTCCCCGACTCGCGAAAGCTCTTGTCACACCTGCAGGATGAAAGTAAGCGATTCCTTTCGTTACCTGGGTGAAGGGTCATTGGAGCAATCGGCGTCTTCCGAGATGCCACCTTGGGGAAACGGGCGGCGTGGGTGAGCACCAGGTGAGAACAAAGGCATGGCTCCAGCTCAGACACGGAGGCTCGACCTTCGTAGTAGCAGAAGATGGGCTTTGATAATTGCGATGGTCTGCTTGGACAACCTGAGAAGATATGAAAAATCAGCCAAAATTAATACTAAAAAAAATTGTGATTAAATTTGAATTTTTTATAAAAAAAAAAAAAAAAAAAAAAATGAATTATAAATAATTTTTAGTAGCATTTTTAGGTCTTAATAACAGGATTATGTTTTACAAAAATTAAAAAAATAAATAAATGAATTTTAAACCTCAAATAATTTACTTCAACAAAAGATTGGAAAAACATCAATATTTTTCTATTTCTCTATTATTATTAAAGTTTAATTTGTTTGAAAAGTATATTTTCAAGAAATTTCTCTAATAGTTAGTTAAGAAATTTATACTGCCCCGACTCATGTGAATAAAAGGAAATGACTTTTTAGAAGGGCGTATAAGGTACTTTTTTGTAGAAATAATAGAAATTTCAGCGATGTTATGCGTTTGGAGATAACAGACGACAGGTCGAGACATTGCAGTGAAAGTGAAGCCAGAACGCATTACTTCACTGGAGAAGTGTATCAATGACTTCTGCGGATAACACACAATGAACCAAGCGGCCTCCGCGCGTTCATGCCCCGACGATTTATTTGTTTAGACAGCCTAATGTTCCGGAATTGGGTTGCAGTCATGTCGTCTCTCCGGTGTAGTTTGAATAATATTGATCGAGCGTTTGACAGCCAACAAAAACTATACAGTTGCGTGTGGTAAAATAAAAATAAATTACTTTTTTTACATCTTTTACGATCAATGTTCATAACGCCCTGGAAATGTCGAAACGAATAATAAAAGCAATCGAAAATTAAACGTATGGCGATCTAATTTGCACTAGGGGTTCGACAAACAGGTTTGTAATTTGATATAATTTTCAATTCGACCAATCTAAAATGGAGCGATTGCGAGATTCAAATCGTTGGTGCCAATAGGTTGATAAAAAAACTCGCCGAGCTAGTTTTAAAAGTGCTGAAAGAAAAATAATGTCCTGCAACTCGTTGCTAGACACCTCACTTGAAGTGCAAAGAGCGCAATGAGAGAAAGTCTCAAATATGAGTCTCAAAACATTTTGCTTCCCTGCTCCACCCAATTACCTCTGATGTAAGTATAATACTTTGTCCACGCACTGCAGGTTCATAAATTATGAAGTGCTTGGGAACGCGCAATCATTCAGCTGGCTTGCATTATTCCTATTATTGAGATTTATCGCATTTGTATGTACAAAATTGCTGAATCGACGGAGCAATTTTCTTGTCGGCGTGAAAATAATGCGATGCTTTACAACGCGAAATGTTCCTTCGCCGCATAAAATGAAGTGCAAAAATGTGTCCGACATCTCTGCGGAGAGTTTGTTATTCGTCGGGTCCTTCTGATCTGCTCGCCTTTATTTCAATACTGCTGCATCGATTTCTGGTCCGCAGGTGTCAATGTGTAAAATTCAAAATTTTATAGTTCTACTTTCAAATAAATAAACGTAACGTGCTGTTTTTTTGTTAAAGCAATGTGTTAACACCGAATTAATATCAGACTTTTGAGAATTGAAAATTGTATTCACACTTTCATTTGAGAGAGACTGAAAAAGTGCACTTGTAAAAAGGTTAATCAAGTGCGAAGCTCGTAAATACGTATTCTTTATTTCCTTACTCTGCATGAATAAATTCTATCATCCTGCAAATGCAAATATCGTTTTCTCCAATTATATCAAAGTCGAGACTAAATTGATTGAACATTTTTATTTCCAATGTATATTCAATAAAAAAGCAAAAGGAAATAACATTATATTAAGTAGTTAACAAAATTAAAAATTTCTAAATATTTCATTTAAAATTTGCAAGCACCTTTCCTTTCTTGGCTTTCATTTGATTGTTTTCAAAAGTGTATGTGTGATTAATTTATTTTTACTACCACTGGAGCATGAGAAAATTTAGCTGATCCGCGGCGAAACCTCCGGGGCGCGATCGTGACTTGACCTAGCCCGCCTCCAAAAAGGAAATGCGCGGTGGAAAGTTGCTCTAGTAGACAAATAAATCACACGCTAAAGCAATCGGTAATTTAGACTTTGTTCTATTACAACTTTTGTTGGGCAATGAGAGAGAACCGCTTTATTTGTGCTCGTAAATCACCCGCTAAGTGCTATTGAAAAAATCTCGTCAGAATGCTTTGCTTTGCGTCAAGCAAGAACGCATAAAAAAGGATTTTATTGCCGTACGGTTTGTTTCACTGACACCTTGAAGCTGTTTGAAATACATTAAATTTTAAGCATTTAATTTAATTTGTTTAATATATAAATAATATAATTGGAATGTTGAAAACAAAGTCAACATTTTTTTTTTAATTCACTCAAAAGTTAAAAATTTACTCTGGTTATTAGAGTCTATGCGGCATCATTACAATTTTTTTATTTTAGATCTTTTGAGACCAATATTTCATGTGAAAATTTCGACAATTTTCAAAAATAATTTGTTATTATTTTTATTTCATTTTCATAGCATTTCTGATTAGTAATGTTTAATTAATTAACACATTTTGTTCTAAAGAATACTTCTCATCTGCTTCTCATGCAAACAAATTTTTAAGAGATATAAGAGCAAACAAGGTGCTTAAATGGCTTCAGAAGATTTCAATTTGTTGTACTTGTATAAAAATATAAAATTAGATCAATAAAAAATAAAAACTTTTTAAATACACAAAAGTAAATTTAAATCTAAAAATTCTCACCTTGTTCTGTGATGTTGACGTGAAACTCGGGTCTGTACGCGGTCGCCTGATTTACGAGAGCAGCGAACGCCAGCAAGAGGATCCACCTCATCGCAGGACCTGCACACAAAGAGTGATCTGGATGAGTGGTCGCAATTTGAGAGTCAGAGGGCAGTCGATGATGCATTTACTTCAGTTCCACCATTGAGCCGCGAGGAAAAAACGCATTTGCAAACGGCTACAGAGAGAGCGACTCGAACGAAGCGACTCGCTGAACAAACTGCTGCTTTTATTGCAAATTCATCCTCTCGGCGCTACACGATCGATCGTGTTCCCCGCGCTTGATCTAATAACGTAATGAAAAGCTTCTTTCCTCTGCTAATTCTCCAAAATTTTGTAACGATGCGAGTTTTCTCATGAGAGAGATGCTTTATGAAGTTAAGCAAGAAATAGCCACGCGCGTTTGTGCTGCGTCAGTAATAATAGAGCCGGCAGCTTTTTGCTCGATTGTTACACATTCTTGTAAGGCTTTTCCTTGTTAATGTAAAGTGTTTTCAAAATTTATGCAATTTATTTTGAGAATTATGTTACCTAACGGTTTATGAATTTCATGCCTTTAATTATTCTCGCTTTAGCAACGTTTAATTAAAAGACTTCAGTCATGATATAAACTAATCTTGAACCACCTATTTTTATAATTATTTTGTTTTTAAGATTTTTGTGATAGCAACCAATTGAATTATTAGTTTATTTATATAAAAATTATAATAAAATTAATATTGTAATTAAATTTTGTTATAATAAAAATATTGTAATATGTATAAATATTAACATTTTTCTAATTTTTTTCGTTACAGAAAAATTCAATTTATCAAAAACAATTCTTTAATCAATTTTTAAAAATAAATATAGAAAAAATTGTTTGAAAGAGTCTCTTTGCCTTCTTTTTATTCATCTCAGTATTTATTTCAATACGGAAATGTATTGGGAGTTTCTCCTGTTAACACTTTTTCTTTTACAGAAGTTTCAATTTTCAAACAAGTTAAGAGACTATAAATTGCCTTTCATGTTTACGAGAGACCAAATTAAATTTTTCCCTTCTCCGTAAAACTAAAATGTTGCCGAGAAATTCTACCGGAGCGCGATATAATAAACATTGGGTCTGCAGGAGTAAATTATCATCACACACACGAGCCCGCGTCCTGCGTCTGACAAGAAACTGGTTATTAAAAAGCGCGTTAATCTCGTTATAAAACGCTGGCATCGATATAAATCTGATAAGTAATGCCTGCAATCAACTTGTTAAATGCATCTCACCCGTCAGTGATTTCTTACCATGGCAAATAAACGAGTCTTTGATTATGCATCGAAGCGAAAATAATGCTGCACTTTGACTTCACCTTGGATTTTCACGAATTTAGCGACACTTTTGCTGCTTTTATTGTGCTACACGTGATTTATAAACTCCTTTGGCCTGACGCTTAAAAGCAAACGCTACTCTGGGTTTTTCTTTTTGCTCCGGAGGCAATGATTCAACAATACAACCATAACTCACTAATCTACATTTAAGTGCCGCCCCGCCCTGCCGGCAATACCAAGTCGGCCACTTTTTATTTTTATGTAGAGTATTAAAGTGTTGTACACTATCATGGGTTGCGTGTGGCGATTGAATGGACGCGTGCGTTCGTCCTTTCACTTGATCGTCGGCGACAAGAATTAAAACACCTCTCTAGCCGGCAAGGAAAATCGAGGCTTGATTTTTGTGAACTTTAATCCGGCATTTTTCATTCTGTAATTTTAAGTAGACTCCCTTTTTGGAATGAGTAAGTGGATCGGCTGACAGATTTGGGGCAGCACAACTTAAAAAGGTGTACCTTGAATTGCGAAATTTTTTGTAAAGTTAATAATCAATCTTGGTTCAAAAAGATTTTTTATTTAGCTGGCCTTTTTTAAAATAATAATAGCTAATTGTCTTATTGACAAAAAAATCATGATGAAAGTCTCACAACCAAAATTGCAGTTCATTTTTAAGTGCGTAAAATAATATGTTTAAAAAAAATGCCCCATAAAAATTAAAAAGAAATATTTTGCGTCATTCTCTTATTTAAATACTAATCATACCAGGAAATCTCTTCTTACTGTGTAACTTTGCTTAAAATTAAATACATGATAATTTAAAAAGTTGTTTAAATTTCATGTCTTTCCTGCCCAAAGCATTGATCAGTTCTTCAGAAACCAGTTCAAACATCTGCAAGCTACAAAGTGCTAATTGCTAATTACAGCAGAGAGCATTTTCAGTCTGTGATGGAATTGGAAGATAACAAACGAATGCTTTCCTTGCTCCCTTTTACACACGCAATTAGATTTATGATTGAGGAGGAGGCATCTGATTCGATCTGCCATAAAATGAATGCTTGGCAATAGTGAAATGAGGAAAATCTTTTCTGCAGAAGATTACGACGTGTCTTATATAAAGGGTGCCCTTCCTTTTTATTTGATTGATAATAAATTAAAAAGTTAAAAATGATTCATGATAGATTAGAAATGAATCAGATGGGAATTACTGCGGTTTCGAAAAACAGTCTCGATCTCGGCCGTTGAAATTCCCAAACTATGTAACCTAGGCTTGTTATGTTCACCACTGATCGATTTGAGGTTAAAAGCTCTACTTGACTCATTTCTAGAAATTCATCATTATTGGGGTTTCTGTGAAAGTAAAACAATCCATTTATATCTATCATTTCCTCTTATTCCCAATAAAATTATTTTTTACAAGCCTATATTTAGAGAGCTTATTTCAAAATAAAAACAATATAATTAATCGATTTTTGTACAAAATTTATTTAATTTTTCATGCTGGTAAAAAAGATAGTAACCTTTTGATCTTCACGAACATTAGTGTATGTTTAAACGGTCTTTGAATATTATCAAAAATATTTAAAAATAAAGAAATCTGTATCTAGTGTAATTGCCATGAAACGGACAAATCAGTGCAATGAACAAAGAGTGTCATGTCTCCAAGGAAAATGTTACTAGACGAGTTCAAGTGTGTATTCTGATGACTAATACAAAAACTTAGCCAAAATAAAAATCATAAGAATATTGATTTTTTTTTGTTATTTATAATTTTTTATAATACTTATAAAATAGTACAAAATGAACTTATAAATTAAGAAATAAATATTAAAAGTTTAAAAGAAAGGTTATTGGGTATAATGAAATTTTAAAAGAATTGTAACCTGTTGTTTTGTATTCAAGGTGTGTTGCTCTTATAGCAAAGACGCTCATGTTATTAATACCAAGCCATAAATTCAAGATTGTGAAAAATTCAAAACAAGTAGCCACGTAGGAAACCAGTAATTTTCTTCACAAACACAGTGTTTTATAATTCCAGCCAACAAACTAATTACAAACTTATCACTGCGTGAGTAGAAGCTTCGACAGGCATTAGACAATAAGCACGCAGCGCATTCAAACTACAAATGTCCCCGAGCAACTTCAAAATATAATAAGAGCTTGCCTTGCATGGGCACGAAAAAATCAAACATTCTTGCGTGCAATTTAAATTTCATTATCCGCCACTTCTGAAGCGCTAATGGATTGCAAATGTGTGTGTGGTCCTTGCGCAATAATTATATACACGTTCGTCGACTCAGCGAATTATTGATATTTATTATCCGCATTATTTTATACCATATTACTTATTTATGGACGCATTTATAATTGCTGGTTGCTCTCATTCCGTCTGATTATTTAATAATTGTGTATTAAGGTAGTCCCGTGTGTATCAGAGAGTGATCCACTTTCGGTTTCGTCTCTCGTGATTTCCATAATCGCAAAACACGGCTGTGCTCTTAGCAGTGTTACGAAAAGGGTTTCCATTTCGCTCTGAGCGATGCTGCATGAGTCTCACGACACCCACGCCCAAGTTAGTTTCACACATTGCGGATTGCAGTGTATAATAAAAGAGTGCTGCTGCCAATTTACGCGCTGTGTGCAATTAAACGTGCAGCTTCTTTGCGAAATTCTCGCATGCTAAACGTGTCATCAGCTTCCTCTTAATAGAAATCCAAGAGAATGCTTTTCACCGATTTTGTACAGAGATAAAAAAAAAATGAAATGGATCATCAAGCTTGGCGCGTTGATGTAAAAAATTTTGATGAAAGTCAGCTTGCAAAAACTAACTTGTAGGATTGGTTTGCTCGTCTAGTGAAATTTTTGGAGGTCAAAATTAAGGTTAATGCATTTTTACAAAATTGGTAGAAAACCTGTATACCAGCATGGCTCTGCGTCGATAAATTTCGAGATGTAATTATTAGTCCATTTCTAGTTCGGCACGCAGCTTTTTATTTATTATAGTTAATTTTGGCTATCGAAGCTCTATTAAAACCACCTGTGCAAACGACTGCTGAGAATATTACACGCTCGACGGAGCACCGGAAGAGCCAGAGATTCTCAAAGGTGGGCATTAATTGTTTTTTCCTTACACGCGCGTGAATCAAAATCTAGAGACTCTGCGAAAGTGCAAGGGCCCCTCTAATTCGCACGATTTTTTGTGTGGAGATTTTTCATGTCAGAGAAAATTTTGATTTTTTGAATGCTTGAAATTTTTATTAAGCGTGTGGAGAAGAAAAATCGTAAAAAGTTGTTGACTAGGGTTTGTCGATAATTTATTGTTCTAACACGGTCATCAACAAGCTTTTGTGGTTTTTAATTGGCTTGTATAGAGGCACACATTTGATTTATTGGTAGCTCAAATTTTCAGGTATGAAAAAGCTTTAGGGCTTTTTACATAATATATGCCCGTTGTTCATCAAGTTGCTGGCTAATTTTAGCCCATTTGCCACGGCAAGAATTATTACAGGCTGCCAAAAATGCGGTTCTGTAACTTGTCCTCTGGCCTGAAAACCCCTCGAACCTTTTATTTTAAACTTTGCCAAAAAAAGTAAATAATCAAAATATGCTTAAGCTACTTTTACTTCATTAATTTAAGTGGATTTTAATGTTTTGTTTGATTGTAAATGAAATCAAAATCACGTCAATTTTTTTAACAACGCCACTGAAATTTGGGCAGTGGCTTTAATAAAACAGTAACAACTGTCTCGCAATTAGCCAGCAAT